TTCGTGGAGCTTTTTCTTGGGTGGGGGTCATTGTGTTGTTTGGCTTGACTTACCCTTTAAGCTTTGTATCAAAATGGCGTCGCTACTATTGATGCTGTGATTTTTTATCGTCTAATTAGACATTTCCACGACATGAGACATGTTCGGACTTACAGTACCACAACTGAAGGACTTTCTTCGGAACTATGACGTCATTTACGTCCAACTATAGCAAAGATATGTATATGAAACTCGCAAACACTGTGCTTACTCTGGTGTTGTACTAGGACCCAGACTTGCCACAATACGATCCCAAGATCGATGTAAAAAAACGATTGGGTGCGATTTTATAGACTCTCTTACCCTAACTTATTATTTTTATCACGAAGATGATGGGTTTTTTTTGCGTCCGTTAAGTATACTATAAAAGTTTAGCCTCATTGCTTCAGATGTTTAATTACAGTCAGTAGATAATGACATGCTTTGAAAGTGACACAATTTGTTTTTGCCAATTCTATTTTCTGTGCTGTATTATGACATAAAAATGAATAAAGACTAGTCTATTTATTTAACACTTCTTGTGTCCCAGTCATGAGTGTATAAACTCACACACACACATACACGTATTACAATTCACAATCATAGTTTACTTGTTTAGTCTATATTTTGTACATACATCTAAACTGAAGTACAGCAATATGTAATATAAAATGAGTTGTAAATTTCAGAAGTTTGCACTGTAAATTGGTAAAATGACCAAAAATAAAATAATTTAAGCAACAATTTCTTTTCATAAGCTTTGGCATATGAGTGATATGACACTATATATTAGCTTTGATGTGTACCAAATTGATGACAGTTTACGAGGCAACATCACATGATGTCTTCCTGGGTGAACTCTTTTTATGATTTATATGCAATGGTATGTCTTAAAATAAAAACAATATTAATGGTATTATTTCACAATTTGACTTCATGTTATTCAAATATAAAAATCCACAAAGGGTACATGAACAGAAGAAAGATATGAAACTATAGGCTTATTTTCTTTGTAAACACAAACATCTGAACCGGTGACTGAAATAGAGAAATATATTGAAAATATAAATATATGAAAATTGGGGGACAAGCTGGCTGCATATTATTATGTGTATACTATTATTTAGTGGTCTGAAAAATGGTATCCGTATTTAAAATAACAAATATTATTAATGTTTTACCCGTGCTGCGAGCCAAAGCCCTACGATATAAAATCCATTTACTGTACAGTCTGCATTGAGGTACTAATATATATAAAAAAAATCTTCAAGAAATTAAAAACACAGACTTTAAGATTTTGCGTCGCTTCCTAGACATCGGATGTTCGATCTTTTGGCGGCGGCCGATTTTTTTTGTTTGCGAAAATCCATAGTTCCACTCCTCTTGTGTAGCTGAAATAATATGATCGGGATGGTTCTGTGTCGGGCCTTTACCGCCGACAAACGGCGTGAACATTTGTGTCTTGTCTTACCGAAACTGTCTCCACGGCAACAAGTAGTTAACCAGCGGTCACATGTGTTTTTCAGCATAGCTAAATGGCGTTGTCAACCATTCATTGTCGGTTTCTAGGGGATTAAGCCAGGTCAAACGTTCCCACGTAGTCCCGCGTTGCGTGTAATATGGGTTAAGGACATGGGTTTTCAGCAAATAAGCTTACAATATAAGTTGGTTCGTATGGATCTTTATAAAAATATACGTAACAGCAGGGAACAGCTAGATATACTTTAATTCGAACGGATTTTGCTTTTCATTAAGCGGATCAATTTTTCATTTCGGCGTTTCATCATTTTTTTTTTTGTCTTAGCTCCAGGCAACTATTTTACAATTTGCAGATTGTGTACTGTGGAAATTATTGTTCCGTTGTTTGCTTATCAACTAAGAAACAGGTGAGTTAATCAATTGAGAGATGGTGTCTCCCATCAACAGTGCTCAATCCGGTCATTATTACAAAACATAAAAACATTTCGGTGAAACGATTTCATATGCTTAAGTTGTGCATTTTCACCAACTGTCATTGTTTTATCCAATGCACTAGCCAAATATTACGTTGACCCGTCTTTTATGCCTTGGTTATCATCTACACCCATATTTGTTTTATTAGTTCTGCTGGAACTATTTTCTCTTATACTAAGTATACATAAATAATTATTGCTTTTCACTAATTTATTTTTGTTTACAAGGATATATTTTCGGGGATGGGCGTGTGTAAATGTATACATACAAATAGATGGTTCACACTGTAAACAACATTTGTTCAGCCTGCTTTATGAACATGTCTATTCAAGTTTTGCAGAGACAATGAATTACAATAATGATACTAATATTTGTTGTTTAATAACACTAGTGTAGTAGATAGTGCTCACACTATGTCAAACATTGCAGCCAGGAAGTTTTCAAAATATTGCCAGGCGGAAATCAGAACGTTCAATTTTCTATGGGGCAATTTGAATTAAAATAATAATGCAGTTCGTTTTGTTTCACTGTCTGACAAGACACAAATTGTGATTATTGGTTATTGAACTATCAAGCATTTTGAGCCTAGATTTTCATGATGAAAAAGTTAGTTATTCTATATTTAACGATTTTTTAAAACAGAATTGGTTAACCCATTAC